AACGATACATTGGTTATGTTTGAAAGATCTTTGGCTAGATTATTATTGGCAATATTTACTTTGCAATTGAGAAACAATTCTTGTGATGTAGACTCCAAAGAGTTGTAACTGCTTCACTTAAGAACTCAATATCTATAACTTCATACTCGTTATGGAGTTGAACATCATCATCAGATTCTAAAGATCTTTTTGGTTTTTTATTGAGTCTTGGACGGCATTTATCACATGTTTTAAACTGTTTAGATGCACCTCTGGCATAAATTCATGACATGATTTAAAAGTTTTACAACTGCTGCAATAAGGACCCATATTTTATAGCAAAGAAAAATATAGCGAAGAAATATCAATAAGAATGGAAATGAAAATTATCATTATTCGTTTTCTTTATTATTGATATCAATATGATTTATGATTAATTAATTGATTATACGGTAACTCTTATTACATAGTACAAAGTCAATTTCGCAGCCACAGCCACTCACGTGCCTGAGGTTTTTTGTTGGTTGCGCTGGGGAAGATTATACATACATGATTATGTAAATAATTATTGTGGCGGCTGAAACTGAGATTATCTGAAGCTAAGATTGGGGTCTCTATTTAAATCAAAAATATCTAATAAAGTTCACTTATACTCTTTTATTAATAAAACTACCCAAAAAAATCCCAACCTAACTCTAAAAAAAAAAGCAGATAAAAAAGGCCCCAAAAGTTTTTAAAATTTAATATTAAAATATTTCAAAACCTCAGTTTCAGCTGACACAATTATTAATAGCTAAATTAAAGTAACTGCTTCTTCGAACAGTTATACCATGGTGGGCATGGTCGTTATTTTAGGTTATTGCACGAATTAAACTTAAGTAAATTTCGAATTTACTCTTCTGGGCAATATTCCGAAAATTTACGTTACCTGGTAAATTATTGACAGGGTATTTTTGGTTGCACGTGATTGAGGTACACAGGTAGTTAGTAAAGTAGTACAGTACGGTAGTACAAATTTGTACGTACGGACGAGGTAGTTAGTAAAGTAGTACAGTACGGTAGTACAAATTTGTACGTACGGACGTAAATTGGGCGAGATTTTGATAG